GTTTTTCTTTAGTTTTTCTTGTTTAAAACATTCCTTAACCACTCTTATATGTTAAGTCAAGTAATATATTTGTTTGATTTAGCTGGCAATGACATATTTTATTATTATTATATTTATTATTTAGTTAAGCCAAGCAAGCATATTACAATATAAAAAAAAATATACCAAAAAAATCATATAAAAAATGGTCTATGTACCCCTACCCTTAAAATAATTAAGGATAGAGTTTATTATAAAGAAACTATTGTTTTGCAACGAACCTTTATATGTTGTTATAGTCGAAACCATAACTCAAATTCAAATAAGAATATGAGTTCAAAAAAAATTCAATGTCTATTTTTAGTTAATGCTTTATGCCTAAAAACCAAAAATCCTAAAGAGCTTGTATTTATTAATAAAGTGAAGTCAAACATAGCATTTTCTAAGTAAAGAAATGATCAATTTTGAGGAATCTAAAAAATTTAACAATGATATGTTAGATGATATTAGGCTTATGACTGTTTCTTGTAAATTTAGTGCAACAAGTCAAAGAAAATTCTTTGAAAATAAATATCCATTACATTCTATATATTCAAAAGATCTTTATACAACAATAAGCAAGTTTTGTCTAATACAAAAGTCTTTATCAAATGATACATCCCAGGTTTCAAATTGGCTTGATTAGCAAAAAGCGCTTGATTCTCGATAATATATAGCATGAGGTTGGGATGAAGATAATATCTTAATGCACTTAATGTGGATGACTTCAGAACAAATTGAAAACTGGGTGCAATATTTAGATTGTGTCCTTAATGACACTATACAAAAAACTAACAGATATGGAATAGCACTATTGTTATTTGTGGGGTTTAAAAATGACTGACATAATATATTATTTGCACAAGGTTGCTTGGCTGATAAAAGCCTTGAATCACATACATGGATGTTTGAGCAAATCATAAAAGTGACTAAAATAAGTCCAGGTATTATACTTATAGATTCTGATCCTGCTGTCGATTCAGCTATTCATAAAGTATTTTCTTCTATATATCCTATTCATTATACATATTATATTATACAGAATCTATATAAAAATCTTAGAAAGACTCTAGGTGACAAGTATAAAAGGTTTCTAAATGAGTTTTATGATTGTTGTAATAGTTTTATTGAAGATGCATTTCAAAAAAGATTTAATAAGCTTTTATATGATTATCCTAATGCACAAAATTATTTAGAATTCATTTACAAAACAAGAATATAATGGGCATATTGTTTTATTAGATTTAAGTTCACAGCCAGTATAATAGCAACCTCTCATATAGAATCTGTAAATGGATGTCTAAAACATCTGCTACATAATTCAAATATATCATCATATAATATTATGACTGAAATTCATCAGCTTTTTGATTTATAAAACAAGGAAAATGAGTACAATTTTGGAAATTATCAATTTCTACTATATGTAGTCAAAATAATACAAATTTTTTGTTTACTAAGATAGACCAATGTCTTTAACAATATTTAAACCTACTATGCTAAAACTGCATAAAAATGAAATAAATTAATCATTATATTATTCAGCAAGTTTTGTCAATAACAAAGGATCTGAAAGCTCAGATGAGATAAATAATTTTTATTCTTATGCATCATATTAATAAAAAAATTTTTATTTTATATATAGCTAACTTAGAAATATTATAATTTTAATAGGATAACCTAACTATAAGCATTGAAGCATTAGTTGATACTCTATAGTCAACATTAAAACAAATAGTTGAATTCATAGGCTCTTATAATATTAAAGAAATATGGGCTGTAAATGTTAGAAACTCATTAAACATCAAGCATCATGTTTTATTATTACATGATCATAGATATATATGTATATGTCTTTCTATAATTAGATGTAGAATTATTTATAGGCACTATTTTTAGGTAATGTTACTTACAAAAATTGCCTCATTTTATATCAGACTAATTCCAACTAGATGGTACCGTAAATATCAAAATATTTTAGAGCAGCTATTTTTGTTTTCTGACAAGTTTATTAAGATCAAAATGTAATACATAATTCAGATATCAGGATGTCTTATTTGTGTTCTTTTGATCAAAATTGTAAAGATTTTTGTGAAGAAAACTTAACAGTTCTTGAGCAAAAAATTATTTTAGAAAAGTTTATAGTGCATATAAAAAAGCCTTGAATAAGGCATTAGAAATTAATTCAAAATCACAACAACTTATTGCTTTACTTCAGGAGTTTGCTAAAGATAGTAGCGGACAATCAGGTTTAGAAAAAAGTAATAATGAAAAAGAAGATGACTCTGCAATAGGGATGGTAAAGTTGCTAGGTTTGGAATCTAAAACCTGGTTTTTAGAATCTGGTTTTTAAAAACTAGGTTCTAATTTTGGAATCTAGGTTTTTAGGTTTATAATAAGTTTTTAAGTTCTTAGATTTATAATAGGTTTTTAAGTTTAGATTTATAATAGGTTCTTAGGCTTATAATAAGTTCATAAGTTCATAATAGGTTTTTAAATTCATGATAGGTTCTTAAAGAACAGTAAAAACAGGTATATTATAAAAGTCATATATTTATTTGAGCCTGAATTTAAGAATGCTTTAGAGAAGGTATGCACTTATAGAGTCATATTTATTGAGGTTTCACT